ACCTGAGACTTACATTGTTTTTCCAGGAATTTTAGAAGTCAGGTGATGCCTAATGTTTTTTTATAGTAGCTTTTGTCTGATTTTGTGAAAATACAGTTCTTCAACGATATATAGCAGTTCTTAGGAAGCAGAGAGCATTTGCTATGGAAAACAAAATGTTTAGCTGGACAAATTTAATGTCACTTCAGTGTAAACATGACTCGTTTTAGCTTCGTTTTAGAAAAGGCATTTGTACCCTTATTGTTTTGGTTTTTTTAAATTTCTTCAGAGTTCTAGGAGAATTCTTCTCAGCAAGTTTGCTAATACAACACTACTGGTTAGCAGGTTAGCAATGTGATGGCTTGTGTATGACAAGTGTATGTTAGCAATTATTTCCTAGAATAAATGAAATTTTACATCTTTTAAAAATAACAGAGGTTTATTGGGGATTCCCCCCCCCCCTTAGATTTTTGTTTGGATGGTTTAAAAGTTTAGATTATATGTCATAAGGAAGAGTACTCTTTGAATTTTTCTAAGGACAACTTACAATTAAGTTAAAGTTAAAGTTATAATTTGCATTACCTGTGTTGGAGCCTGTTTCGTTTTGGTTTTTATCTTTTTCATTTTTACCCCTTAATGTGAGGAGCCAGACCAGGATGACTGTTATACTATTATTTCAGTTTAATTTCTTCAATGAACAATTGTATTAATGAAAATAAAGTGGAACCTTTTAGAACATGACTCTATGAGGGAATTTCTTTGCACTAAGTACAGTGATATAAATTCACTCCATGTTTTATGGAAGAACTTTCTTATATTTTTTCCTAAGACTGTAATGCTTCATCAATTAGTTTATGAACTTATGTATGAGAGTGAAAACAATGGAGAGGGAAGGGAAAAGAAAGCTTGTGTACTCTTCCTCTTCTGTATAACTGATATACACTTTGTATTTATTGTAAACTTCCTCCCTCCCTTTCTCCCTCCCTCCCTTTCTCCCTCCCTTTCTCCCTCCCTCCCTTTCTCCCTCCCTCCCTTTCTCTCTTCCCCTCCCTTTCTCTCTTCCCTCCCTCTCCTCCATCCCTCTATCCCTTCTCTCTCCTTCTCTTTTCTTTCTCTCTTTCCCCATGGGAATTATAAACACATTCTTAGAACTAGTTTATGAAATGATTGGTTTTCCTTTCACTGGAAGGTTGAATGTTGTTAGTAAGATGCTGGGATTGAGACTTGAGATCTTGGTCCATCTTCTTGCTGTACTGGGCTGGCCACTTCTCTACACGTTGGTGTTCTGTCTGTCAAATAGAAAAGTGTGTTGTGTTAGGTTGATTATGTCAGTGCCTGCCTGTTTCTGTAGTGACTGGATTGCCAGCAATGGAATCTAATCTCTGGCTACATGTGTCTGTGCCTACAGATTGTCTGTGATGAATCCATCCAGCTCCTTAGAGATAGCAGTACTGAAACAGGCAAGACATGAAGCTTGTAATCTACCATCAGAAATAAACTCTGGCCAGCTAGAAGGATTAAAGTGCCCTGACCCTACAAGTCTACTTTTTCTCTTCTAAGTTGGTAGGATTTGAAAATTATCTTACTTTATAGAGAATGTCGGTATCTTAATGTCTCTTTTATTTGTAAGATTGCTTAATTTGTAAGGTAATTTTCATACAGGCAGACTCTTCAATATATGCTTGTTTGTGGTAGTTGAATTACATTGGAGACCAATAGGAGGAGATCTTTAATATCAGGAGATGTGTATTTCTGAAGAACTATGAGTGGGGAGGTGCTTGTGGATTTTGTTTTGCTTTGTTTTTAGAGATGAAGTTGAGACTGCCACAGGAGTATTGTTTTTCTTGAGTGCTGAAATGAAACAGCTGTTTGCTCTAATTGCATGTGTGTCGAATGATGGTACCCAGAACTGACAAGCAAACCTTCGAGTATATTGCAGCCTCTGGCTAATTGTCTAGAATTCCCGTTCAGTGTGTTCAGCACAGCTCTGTTCTTCTAAATCATTATGTTATTACAACTCCATTTTCATCTTGGGGAAAAAAAGAAATCGAACAAGCAACCCTCATCCACAGCAGACTGATTCATATTATGTTATCCAGAACCAATGAATGTAGCTGAGCCAAGACTGGCTATTGGGTTATTTAAAATTATTTCCTCTTTCATAGTAACTAATTTTCAGAGAAACTTGAATCTCTGAAAAGGCAAGTCTCTAGATAAAATCCTCTGTAAAGTTCAGGGCATGCTCTTAAAAGCAAGTTGAAATCAATCCTTTTGTCTGAGTGTGCTAATATTATCTCTCACAGTACAGTGTGCTTTTTATGTGCACAGGCATCTCTTTTTATATACTTCTGTTGTGCTTAGTAATATCAACAGAAGATATTCCCCAGGAATCTGTCCAGGAATGTCATTGAAAATACTGTGGTAAACAAAGGAGATGCTGTCAAAATACCTGTCTGCAATACTGGCCATGGTAAATACCTTACTTAAATGAAATCCTTGGCAGTGCTGATCTATCTATTTGATAGGTTTAACAATTTCTACAATTCTACTAAGAAGTTAGACGGAGAGATGGGGCAAAATGTGGATCTGTGCATTGCCTTAGTGTATGTGGATGTGGTGGGTCACCAAGGTTTTGACCTGTTTTTGAGTTCTGAGGTGACTGATGTCTTTTTCCCGTCTGCATTTTTCCTGTCTGCATTTTTCCCTTCTGCATTTTTCCCGTCTGCATTTTTCCCTTCTGCATTTTTCCCTTCTGTGATAAACTGCAATAAACAGTTTAGGCCTCAATAACCCTGAAGTAATGCACTGTAAATTCACCGATTGAGATTTATGCAGACTGAAGTGTGTAACTTCATTAGGTCATTAGAATAAGGCATCCTAAAATATAGTGGGATACACAGCCTAATGCAGGAAATACTTCTCTATAGGGTATTCCCTTCCTAATGTAAGGCACTCAGTTGTTAAAAGTCCTAGCTTCAAAGTGTGTTTTCCAGCAGCAGATCCTTACAGGTTTGATCATTATAAGAGAGTTGGATTAAAACACTGACAACACCTGGAGTGTACTGCTTAAAGCCTCTTGGAGCTCAGTAATGTCAGGGTGTATGAATATCTTTCTCTCTTGCAGGATCTTTTCTTTGTCACTGAACCTGTTTTAGTGAGAGCAATCACATTTTTTAGCACTGACATACTGTGTGAAGGTAGGTGTCAACTTTTTTACTGGCTGGAGGATGAATCAATTAGAAATACAAGTTTGAGAAACAGGACTTGCTATAACTTTTTTAATAGTTTTGCTTGAATACTTTTTCGTGACAGTAAAGATTGGTGTAAGGATGGCTGATCAGAGAGATGAACCAAAATAAACGTAATGAAAAAAAGCAGCTGGAATTGCCCTAGCTCGGTCTGGCTAGCTAGCATCTTCCATTGTCATTTCTCCTTTAGTTTTGGAAGTCTACCTCTTCCTTTTCCTGCGTATTGTTTTCCTTGTCACGCATTTCAGACTTCCCTGACCTCTTCATTGTTTCAGACAACTGTCTTATTTCTCTGTCTAAGGTCCATACACATATGGTAGAAACTTCTGGGATCCTGGTGTTGTGTTGGTTTTCATATGTAAGTTTCTATGACTGGGAATGGAACAGCCCACACATTCTAAAACTTTTCTTGGTAGTTGGAAGAGATTGCTAGGGAATAACGGAGAAGTGCTGTCCAAATCTGGCACTGATCTACCATTGTCATTTGATTGCCAGTGATCCAGGGAGGGAAGGACTAAGTGGACTTGAGAAGTGCTGCCATTGATTTACCTGCACATGTTGAATTGGTCATCACTGGCAAAATAATGTTTATCTAGAAACAGGTATTTTATGGCCTACTCAGTAACTGTTATCACTAAATAGGGACCCTTTGCTGTAATTAACTTGAGATTCTGAGCCTTACCAAAGTTTGCTAGTCTTCTTACTTGTAAAAATTACAAATACGTTTATTATGAGCATCACTAGAACACAACAGAGCTTTGATGTTATTTGATATAAAGAAAAAAGTGAGACCACGCCATAGTCTATACTTGTACTTCAATTAATAATACTTTCCTTTCTTATACAAGACTAATGCAGTAATTGCAGTTACCACAGATGCCGTAATGTTATAATAATGTATGCAAAGGCTTTATGGCATAAGTGGGGGTGGGGTGGGGTGGACAGAAGTTGCTTCTGGCTTTATGGCTTATAAATCTGTAAAATTTAAAAAAATTTCAAAATCCCCCCCCAGGCTGAGGCTGGGAGGCACTTGTGGATGTTACCCAGCTCAACCCACCATGCAAGCATGGGCACCTGCAGCGGGTTGCTCAGGGCTGTGTTCAGTCAGGATTTGAAACTCTGCATAATTGCAGACTTCACAACCTCTGTGGGCAACCTGTGCCATGTTTGAACATTGAAGAACCCCAGCTGGTTACTCTTGATAAATCGGGGTGGGGTGGTGGGAAGTAATGAAGGACTTTTAAGAAGATTTGGAGATTTCTGTTACGTTTTACAGTACTTGTGTAAGAGGAGCAAAGATTCTGCATTTTAACAGAATGTAAGTGTTCCATAATGTTAACTGGTCATCAGTAGGTGTTAGCAGGGGAGTATTTGTGAACTGGCTGCCTTGCACTGCTGCTTTTACTGTTCTGGATTTTTCTTTTAAACTCCCATTGTATTTGTTCTTTCTTCCAGACACAGATTAAATATCTTTTAGTTGGAAAATAAGGCTGCTGTTCAGCTGTCAGCCAGTTGAAAAGAAGAAAGGCAGCCCTCTAGAAAATGCTTTCTCGGATGCTTATGTTTGGGGTTTTTTTTTTATCTTTTAAACAGGAGACATGGAAATGTGACTGTGTATTTTATTAAAATTTCTCTGTTCTCTTTTTTCCAGGTCTGTTAGTTCCGTTATGTGTATCCCAGTTACGAGAGGTTTCTTGTGATTTCTGAGCTTGGTGCTATCAGCCTCATGTGAACAAACTAAAGCAAAAACCAAGCTGATTTTTGTAAAACAAAATGCCCCGGAAAAGGAAAACTGGTGGGAGTCCTTCTCTAAAGAATGGCAATTATGACAGAACTGCGTTTGCTGTATCCCAAGGGGACCCAAGCTGCTCACTGTCACAAGCAATGCATAGTGTCAATAAGGAAAAGCTCTTGAACAGCATGTCAGAGATGTTTGCTGACCTAGACCCCACTGTGGTTTATATGGTTCTGTCTGAATGTGATTTTAAAGGTAAATAATGTACAGTTGGCATTACAGTTTTGTTGCATGTGCAGACAGCTCTTAACTAGGGCAACTCCAGAAAAGTTGGTGTAGGTGTTGCAAGCATATTTGTGAGTTTAGCTTTTAATGAGCAGGTGAGTCATAATATTTTGAAGTGTTACAGCTCCTTCCTTGCAGGATTCTCCCAAGTTTGACAGCATTTCTGTGAGGCTGGTAACTTGCTGTAGCAGTGTGCTCCATAAATGGAGGTGCAGCTTAAGTGGCTTGTTCTGTGACACAGAGCAGGCGGTCACAGAGTTGTGAGGAGAGCCTTCTTTTTTTTTCCCTGGTTAGTTTCTGTGCCATATCTGGTCGATGCACAAACTGTTTCTGCAGGAGGTGTATTTTGTGTTCTAGACCACATTTTTTTAAGACAGTGGTACACTGTATGTGGTCCAGGCAGTGTTTGCTTTTCTGTAAATACTTCAATTGAGCTTTGTTTCACTTTCTATTTTGCATTGTCATCTTGTCATCTCCACTGAGGATTAGGTTTTGCAGGATAAATTCTGTTTGTCATGTTGAATTCTCTGCAGCCAAGTTTGGACTGTGTTTCTTCCTCTGTATTCTGCCAAGCTACATACCCACCTCTCCTGGCAGACTGTTTTCATGTCTGTGCCTAGTCCTTCCCTAGTCCTTCCCAAAACCTTGTGTGGTTTTGAAATTCTTCTGTGTATAAGTTCATTGCTCATAATAAAAGTAATGGATGAGATACAGGAGGAGTTACAACGTCTGAGGAGTTACTTGGAAGGCGAATAAGTCATATATGGAGCATTTTAATCAATCTCTATTCATATTATCAGATGTGATTAGCTGAGTTTTTTCTACGAGTATTTGCAAAGAAGGCAGGATTTGCTGTTTTGTGTATGAAAGCTGGGTAGCTATTAAAAGGACTGCGTTTATTGCCATTTTTACTTTACCTAAATTGCACAGAGTTTATATCTTAATACCACTCTCATGTTTGTTGCTATGATTGTCGTTCCTTTTAAAATGACAGTTGATGGAATTACTGAGTCATGCTTTGAACTCTTAATAAGATTTACCTTTACCAAAATAACAGATTTATCTAGAGGCTTATTGGAGAATTCAGTAGATACACTGAGTTCATTATTGTGTTATACTATTAACAATAGTTTAAAAATGGAAAGATTATCATCTTTTCATATAAGTAATAACAAATTGCTCTCATACAGTAGAGAAGATGGAAGGACAAGGAAGATTTTATTTGACGTGTGCAGAAAGAGTTGGATTTTAATGGAAGTGGACTTTTTGCTACAGTGTCTTTCAGAAAAACAGGAGTTTAGCTTTAGGGCCCAGGTGATACTTGTGCCAGGTTTTCATTTTATTCACGTTGATCACAGACAGCCTATACTCCATTTGGTGGCTTTACATAGAATAAATGCAGATACTGGTTTTTTTCAGACTATATTAGATATGACATTTTCAATTGAGCCTAGCCGTAATGAATGTATTTTGCATGCTTTTATCTCTTTTGTCCTCAGTCGTGGTTTTCAGATCATTTTACACTATTTAGCCTGTATAACACAGGTTAAAAGTACCCATTTAAACACCCAGTTCTGATATTTTTTCCAGTTAAACTGAATAATTTTTAGACATTATTTCCTTAGTAATTTATATGCTTATTAGGTTATTATTTTGCAGTATGTCAGTATTGAGTTCTGCCCTTACCTCTAATGAGAAACAGATCAAGGGAGTTGCAGAAGGTGTGTTAAAAGATGAATTGGTAAACTGTTTTCTGGTTGTCTCTTTAGCCATGATAGATACTCCTTCTAGTAAAAAAACCTGCATTTGCATCAGCTGTATTTGTTCAGTTGACCATGCTTTATTCTCTTTACCTTATTCAACAGTAGAAAACGCTATGGATTATCTGCTAGAGCTGTCCACTCATGCTGAAGGAGTAGGATCTTCAAAAACCTTGGGTTTTGATTCAGTAGCATCATCGCAAGCTCTTGTTAACCAGCAAAGATCTGTTGCAAATGAAAGAAGGTGGGAAAGTAATGCAGAACAAAGTAATTCTGAAGAAAAAATGGAAGAGGTCCTATCAAATGATGTGCCGCTGACTGAAGAACTGGATTCCTTAATAGAAAATGCCTCTCGGAGATACAGCTTGAGTGATGAATTGCGCAATTCTGCAAATGACCAGATAGTACATAAGCACTCTGTGGAACACGATGGCTTTAATGAATTTCCAGAGTGGGAAAAATCTTTTTCAGGTTGCAGTCTTCTACTTTTTCCTCAGCAAACAGGGACAAATAATGAGGTTTTAGAAAACTTCTGCTGTTCTCAGCCACCAGTGAGTCAGCTAAGTATCCATACAAGCTCACCAGCTGCATCTGGCACTCCTGCACAGATACAGGAAGATTCCAATTTATCAGAAGTATATCCTCAGCATGATGTGGCTTCAGAAGTCTATAAACAACCCAATGGAGAAATACCTTGTGGAAATTCTGATCAGACACAAGATACTGTTTTGGATCAGAAAAGTATGACTACTGCTTCTGGTGAGTCCTCCCAAGGACCTCTGGAATTTGAAGTAGCTGTCACTGGAAATCCTAACTCAAGATGCCTGGAACAGCATGAAGAGGTAGTGACTGTCTTTAACAGCCACCAGAGTACTTCTCTTCCAGAGGCATGTGTCTCTCTTGAAACATCCAGTTTCAAAACACCAGAACCTGTAGATTTGCAGCAAACTCAGCAGGGTTATAACTTCAGTTTTTCCCCACCGTCATGTCAACCTCAACAACACTGGAACCTCATGGCTCCCGTGTTTTATCCATCCAGTGGAAGTCACAGCTTTGTAACTCCTGTGGCTGTCAGTCCAGGCCAGTGGAGACCTGTTTCAGATTATAGGACTTCAGAAAAAGAACATTATTTTTCCTCTCCAGTGGTTTCAAATGTCTGGGATAGCAACCCTTCTCTGAAGGTATGGGAAAATCAAGATAGAAACTCCAAATTGAACCTCCCGCAAGCACAGCAGTCACCTGTTTGTCACATGACGAGAAAAAGGATGCACCTTATAGGTCAAGTACTTGTTCTTCTCAGAGGTGTTCCAGGATCAGGAAAATCATATTTGGCAAGGTAGACCATCTATATTGTGAGCTTCTAAAAGGAATTGTTTAATTGTGAACAGGTTTTAGTGCAGGCAGAGACAGTTTTCTGACATTTGTAAATAGTTATGCTTATACCCTAATCGCCAGCTCCATGGTACATGCAGCATGATGAGTAACAATAATTGTGGAGAGCTGAGTTGCTCGCAGCTCCTTGGCCTCTAGAGGAAATTGAAATAGGAAGGGTTAGCTTTAACTGCTGTCACTGGCCAAAGGAGTTTGTGTCACTGGAGGATCACTGCATTAGTATTAGGTCTGCCGTGTTCTTCCGGTCCCTGTTCATTTCAGGTGTTCCCTTCCAATAACATGAATGGAAATATGCCAGCTCTTTATAGGGCAGAAATTCCCCTTCCACTGTTGGAATTCTTTTGTGTAAGTAGTACGTGTGGAGCTTCTTGGGTTGAATTTTTGCTTTCTTTTCTAACTCTCCAAAAGTCTAGCTTGAGCTTAGACTTCTCTGGCTGGCACTTGAAATACTGGGTGCAATTAACTTTGTGCGTGTATTTGTCAGTGTGAAAGTACGTCACTAGATGCAGATGGAAAAGTAACTCCCTTGTTGTTTTGAAATGAGACTCACAGGGAACCTCTGTCAGCTCTTTCCCCTAGATATCTTCAGCCTTTGGAAAAGGAGGAAAATTATTATATATCACCTTTGCCTGGAGGGTGATTCTCCCCTTCCCCCTTCCTCCTTACTTAAATTTAGTGCTTCCATTCCAAATAATTTTGGTTTTGTGCAAGATGCCAAATACATGTATGTGTGGTAGAAGATAACAGGCCTGGGGAGGAGAAGCGGGAAAAGCTATTTACTTCTTGCTCTTTCACAGGACTTTACTTGAGGATAACCCAGGCGGAGTCATTCTTAGTACTGATGATTACTTTTATAAATATGGAAAATACCAATTTGATCCCAGTTGCTTAGGAGAAGCACATGACTGGAACAGGAAACGAGGTGAGCAGTAAATAAGGGATTAGCTTGCTCCTTTATAGTTCAATGCTTGTGTGCTGTTTTAAAAGCTGCCTGTCTTGTAATGCCTGTTTCACGGGACAGGCATTTATGCCATCCTAAAGTATTTTTTAATATGTGTGTGGAAAAAGAATACGAGTAGAGACTCAGAAGTCATCTGTCCATTTTGAAATTGAAAATGCCAGTGTCTTTGTCAAAAGATTGTTTTACCTTCCGATTTCATCATGGTAGTGTCCTGTTTCTGGAGTGGTAATCTGTACCATCTCCCAGAAATATTTCTTCTGAGATGAGCCATTATATATTCATATGCAATAAGTACTGAGGATGTAGATACAAATAACATTTACGCAGATCATTTCCTGCTCTAGATTATTTTTTTCTCTTAAGCACTAAATCATTGGCAAATTTAAAACAAAATTATAAGAGCAAGACAGAAGAAATAAACTATTTTCTCCTGTCCATAGCTGGTGTATTTTTTATTACTGGCTCCCACTAAACTTACCACAGAACAACTATTTTTAAGCATTTATTTACTAAATTTGAACCACAATCACTTTTCTACTGTCAAATATCTAACCAGTGGAGAAACGGGTTGATAAGAAATGTATGATTCAACAAAAACTTCGATTGTTCAGACATACCGTAACATAGCTACAGAAACATCGTGCTGTATCTCGAATCTAGTGATTCTAAACATTTAATTGCTGTTATTTAAACTACAGTAATTCTTTTGCTTTTTCATATTTTATGTAGTTTTACAGAGTGGACTAATCTTAAGACTGCTATAAAGTCAAGAATTTTGTATGCAACAAAGAAGTCCACTTTAAGGTGATCATACAGGTTTTTTAGTTGAATTTACCAATTGTTTAATCATCTTGGTGTGTTCTACATTTGCATTTTCATCCTTGATTATCATACATACGTTAATTCAGAAGAATAATACTGTATCTGTAGCTGTACTTGTGAGGGGGGCATTTCTGAAGAAAAGAGGACCTTGAAACAGATCAAGCTGTGATGAGAGTTCTTTACACGATGGTTAATCATTATGGGTTATCTACTTCATAAAATACAACAAATTTAGATTTAGTATAAATGTTATATGTCCACCCTTTTATAGTGAAATTAACAATATTGCGTTCTTCTGTACATGTGTGTCTTTCAGCCAAAGAAGCATTTGAAATGAGAATCTCTCCCATAATAATAGACAACACAAACATACAAGCATGGGAGATGAAGCCTTATGTTACTTTGGTTAGTATTACAGTTTGATCAATGTGAAAAGGGATTATTGACCAGCATGGCAACAACATATGTTTTAAAATGAGATTGTCTTTCTCAGTCTAGCTGTTGCTCCACAAGGAAGTCTGGAGTCAAAAAAAAAGTGTTACATGGAATCATATTACCCAGTGTCGTATTCTGTGCGCGTCTGAGCATTGGTGTGGCCTAGTTTCCAAGTGGCAAAACCAAGTGCTTTGTACTTGGGGTCAAAAATGAATATTGTTGTGGAAACTGAATTCTGTTCCTCTTTTATATGAGCAGTAATGTTATAAACCACTTTTAAAATATAATCAGCACTAATTAATGAATGATGTTTGATGCTCCGTGAAACTTGAAAATGCAGTCTTAGTTTCATCCTAAATATAGCATAGAGGCAGATTTCTCCTACCATTGCACAGAAACACATTAGAGAGTGTAGTACGTAGAACTGCCAGGTTTTGAGCAGATACTCTATTTATGCTGCATGTGGTAATGGATTATCTTTGATAGTTCAGTGGCACTGAACACATATAATTTTATTAATAGAATTTTTGTTATCCTTGCATTTATTAACAGTTGTCAGATGAACAGTTCTTTCATAAATTAAGTCCTAGATTTTGCTGTATACCGAAATAAAGAAATAACAAAAGTTCTTCCAGGAAGTACAGGCTTTGGTAAGCTAATAAGATTTATTTCTCAAAACAGGAACAGAGAGAAGTGGCACAGTATTTGCAGTGTTTCTCTGTTTAGACTTTGGGTTCCTTTTCTGTCATGGTGGTGACTAGAGCTTGTAAGGACCATTTACCACTCAAGTTTCCTATATGGCAGGACACTGTCCACAGTGACTGTGTTAATTGCACTGAGTTGCTTGCTTTGGAACTAGCTTGCATTTGGTCAGCTCTGAATGTAAGCAGTGAGCTTTTCTCTCTCTTGGAGATGTGCAAGAGAAGTTCTGCAGTCTTGACTCAGGAGGTAGAACATTCAAAGGAGTGATATAAAGTAATGATTTTGTTTGTTTTTGCGATCATGGCACACATTTAGTTTTACAGTAAGAGATGAATATACATGTTTTTAGAAATCTCTGTTTATATAATCAGAAGTGCAACACTGAACAAAAGTATGTTATTCCAAATGTTTAATTGGTTTTGAAAAGCACAAGAAACAGCTTCAAAGCAGCAGGCTGTACATGTTGTGTGCTTTTCACAGGAGTAAGAAATGGGTGATGTGGCTTGTTTTGTTTTTTATCTGTTTTATTCAGGCTCAGCAGTTCAAATACAAAGTCGTGTTCCGAGAACCAGGCACATGGTGGAAGTTTAAACCCAAAGAACTTGAAAGGTAAGACTATAAAGGAGTATTTCTTATTAGATTGTGTATCTTTCACAGACTATGATTTTTAAAAGGGTACCACTTAGTCCAGTGACTGGTTAAGTAGTCAAGATTTTTGTGATACTGTCTTTTTAATAATTCTTTTTTCCTACACTTTTAGCTTCTGTGGGATTTTATATGTATTATGAGATTTTTCCCATCACTTTATTCTACTATATACAAAAGATACTATTAGCAATAGATATTATGTAATGTTTTCATGTTTGCAGTTCTTTTGCATTTAAGGTACAGTGACTACTCCTTTGGGTTCCTGAGGTTACAGAAATGATGTCAGGTTGGGACTGGTTTTGCATCTGGCTGGTCTGTTGCCTTACTTGAAATGTTTCTGCTGTCACTGGGTTTAAGGCAATCAGCACCTCGTGAGAGGGATAAACCCCTGTGCATTATCATTATTGTTTACCTTCTCTTTAGCAGGACAGTCATAGAGCCATTACTTAGAGCCAAAATGGGCAAGATGTAAACCCTATGTAAGAGAATAATATGTGCCTAGAAAATTGGCTGAATGCCAGGTTCAAAAGATCCAGGAGGAGGCTGATGTCCTTCTAGGATGAATGCTAGGGCCGCCACCATTTAATCTTCTGTTTATGACTTGGATACTGGAACAGAGTGCACTCTCAGCAGATTGGCAGATGATAGTGAATTGAGCAAGAATACTTTGTTCAGCCTTAAGGAGAGAACATTAAGGAAGGCCCATGTTGTTGTCTTCAGCTATCTTTTGAGAGGTCACAGAGAACACTGAAACAATCTCTTCTGAGAATTGTGCAGGGATAGGGCAAAACAAGCATAATTAAGTTGGAACTTTGGAAATTTTGATTACGTAAAGTAAGTGGGTTTTTGGCTTTTCTTTGATCGTTTTGTTTTTGTTTTTTTTTTTTTCTTTTGAGGGTGGTCACACACTGAAAGAGTTTGCCCAGAGAGTTTGGAGACTTTCAGTCACTGAGGATATTCAAAATTGACAAGACAAAGCTTTGAGCAACCTAATCTAGCTATGCTTCCTCTGAATTTGAGATTGGACTGTGTGACCACCAGGGGTCCCTTTCAACATAAGTTGTTTTGTGGTTTCATAGTGTCTGTTGTCATCTGAATTTGCATGCCTAGCGTAAGGTTGGCCACTTTTCAAGTGTGGTAAGGAAGATTATTTTCTCTCCTAAAATAGAACTTAAACATTTTCTCCTGTACCTTCAATTTCTGTTTTGTCATCCTTAGCAGGATTCAGTTGTTCTAGGTGGAACTGCTGCAGAAAATATTCCTGGTTGGTGTTCAACAGAGTCACTGAAAATTCCCAGCCAAAGTGTGTCCAAAATAATAAGTGAATAGGTTTTCCTCAAGAAGGATTTCTTAGCAAAACCAAAGAAGGAAGAGTTAATTCAGAAATCTTCCATACCCAGTGATACCCTGCATCACTGTCAGGATCTGATAGGATGTGTTTCTGATACTGGTTTGAAGAAGATGCATTATTGGTACAGTTTTAGGTTTTAATATTAAGCAAAACATCCTGTTGCAGAACAGGGCCACCAGGTGGGGTGGAGAGGTGAACTGGAGCAGCAGTTTGTCTGAGACACCCTATTTGGAGTGCCTTAGTGCACCAATACAGAAAGAACTGCTGTTTCACAGCTTTTGCTCTGTCCCCCTGAAATCTCTGGTTAGTCTTGCTGTAAACTTACTATAATTAAATCATTATTAAATTATTCTCTTCTCTCATTATAATACACAAATCTGAAATGTTTCTTTCTTTTTTTTTTTTTTTTTTACATGTATAGGCGAAATATTCATGGTGTGTCTAAAGAAAAGATCAAAAGAATGTTGGAGCGGTATGAACACTGCCTTACTGTTAGTTCCGTATTGGATTCTTCAGTACCAGACAAAGCAGAAGCTGCTGGTTGGAGTGAAGAGCCTTGTCAGGAGGAAAGCTATAGGTTAGATTCTTACACTAGCTTTGTAGTCTCACATAAAAGGCTAAAAATTCTAACTTCATAGCAACAGAAGCTGGATAATGCTGTTGAACACTGAATGCATTAAAAAAATAGTCAATAATAAAAAGAAACACATTAATAGTTTTCTTAATTTATAAGAATTTCAGGATTTCTAGAAATGAGCAGTCAAGGGATTTAGACAACTTTCTGCTGCTTTTTGAAAACCTCCCCATATGGCTGTGTTTTTGTTTGATTTTCTTATATCTCGGAAACATGCTATTGGATGTATGTTGTAGATAGAAAACACTTAAAATCTATAAAATGCTTTTCAGATGAATGTAGTCCCAAATTACAATTTCTGAGGCTGTGTGTTGGTATTAGGTGATGTTTTTGTGTAGAATTCTTTGTGCAGTAGAAACGAGTTATCTACTTGCTTCTGAGTTTATTTAGTTCAGACTTGTCTCAATTTATGTTGGTTGTATGCATAACTAGTTTGTAGTGGCTAATCTGAATAATGCTGTATATGCTTTATAATAATGCATAGGAAATCAAGGGTTTTTTTGTAGTTATTATTTCATTTGGGTTTTGCATGCTTAATGTTTTTGAAACTGGTGGAACTGTGCTCTACCATCCCTGAGAAGAAGCAAGCCAGCCACCCAAAATAAAAGAAACTAAGGATCCCCTACCCTCTTGACACCAGACAGATGGAGTGGACCTACGAGACAGGAGAGGTTGGAAACAGGTTACTTCTCATGTAGACAGTGTATTACCCACCAGGGTATGTCACCTTCCCAGGTACCCCTCTACAACAGATTGGAGGTATTTGAGGATCAGGAAAATGAGAAAAATGATTAAGTAGATAAGGGATCATCCAGGTTAGGAGAGTTGCCATGGAAGAGTCAGAGAACGCCTTGTATCATGAATTGGTTGTGGTTGGTGACTCCACCCTGAGAGGAACAGAGGG